CGTCCACTTGTCCCTGCTTGCTAAGCGTAAAAAAACTACCCGCCTGGCGTCCGGAACTGCATGTTACAGTTGTCGGGCGATAGGAATTCCACACCCCTTAATATAGGAGGGGGAAAGGAGGGTGATGATGTGTGTCGGAGGGGTGGCAGTGGCACGAGCGGGGTACTTATCTGTCCTTCTAACCCTTCCTTGTCTCTCCCTATGCAGTGTGGACAACAGCGAATACATGAGAAATGGCGACTTCCTCCCGACCCGCCTTCAGGCCCAGCAGGACGCCGTCAACATCGTCTGTCACTCGAAGACCCGCAGCAACCCCGAGAACAACGTGGGCCTCATCACCCTGGCCAAGTAAGGTGACACCCCGCCCCCAACACAGCAGAAGATTTCTATTCTAGAGATGAGACTCCTGTCATGGTCATCCCCGGAATCAGAATATCATCGTATCTGCTGTCTGAGGAGTCACAGAACTCTGCAGAGAGGGGGCTGCCATTGCTGGGCTCTCCATCTGGAAATGCCAGTCCCCTGGCTCTCATGCTAGTCAAACAACTTCAGGATTTCCTGCGAGTCTCTGACCCAGAACAAGTATACAGATCAGGTCCTGACTTTGCTGTGTGTTGGTTCTGGGTCAGTGTGTCAGGGCGTTGAAGCCGGAGACAGCCAGGCAGTTACACTTTTTTTAGATGGACAGCCCCCTTCCCTCCCTTCAGCTCTACCTCAAAAGATGCAACCATATAGAACAGGTATCATTTTGCCCCACCTGCCCCCCTAACCCTCCCCACCCCATAGATGAGCCGGTCACCTCCTTGGATCTCAGCCTGCTTTTTTTGAGCTGGTGAGCCGCATCCTGCTGCCAATGTGCAGTAGTTTCTCCATAGGACCTAATGCAAAAGGACATACAGGTCATACAGCTACAGAACCACAGCCTTTGGATAGCTGAGTTGAAAAGAAGGGGGGCATCTGTGGACATGGGGCAGCTGGGGCAAATGTATGCAATGGTAGAGTTGTCCTTTAACTGGTAATAGTGCCCTGTAATCTTTGGTGCAAAGAGACATCGGTGACTCTGTGTGAAGGAGCTTCAGAGAAGATGGAAATCCTTCTGTAGATCCATAGATAGGCACAGTACAGGAAGATGGAAATCCTTCTGTAGATCCATAGATAGGCGCTGTAAAGGAAGATGGAAATCCTTCTGCAGATCCATAGATAGGCGCTGTAAAGGAAGATGGAAATCCTTCTGCAGATCCATAGATAGGCGCTGTAAAGGAAGATGGAAATCCTTCTGCAGATCCATAGACAGGCGCTGTAAAGGAAGATGGAAATCCTTCTGTAGATCCATAGATAGGCGCTGTAAAGGAAGATGGAAATCCTTCTGCAGATCCATAGATAGGCGCTGCACTGGAGGAGTAAATACAAATCAAGTGTGATGTCATAACACTCCCTGTCTGTACGGAGGCTCAGGCTGAGCTGTTGCAGTTCTGTCATGCCTCTCCCTGCAGCAGTAGATCACAGCTATGGTAATCTGCTGCTGCATGGGGAGTTGTAATCAGTGGACCAGAGCCAGACCCCCCCCTCCCATAGCATTTCAGAGAGTCCCAGCCCAACTTTCTCAAGGTGGACTGTGACTCTCTATATGGTTGCCCCATAGCTGGAGGTCCAGGGATTGCCTACCCCCCACTAGAGCATTCACTGCTATTGTAGTAGTATTGAGTGTGGGATATTAGTGGATTGCAGCATGAAGTCCGATACAGCCGGCCTGTCAGTGTGAATGTGTTGTAGGGAGATCACGGGTCCGATGGGGGATCTGTAGATTGGATCTGATGTCTGTGTCCTTCTCTTCCAGTAACTGTGAGGTTCTGACCACACTCACCCCAGACACGGGCCGCATCCTCTCCAAACTGCACTCTGTACAGCCCATTGGGAAGATCAGCTTCTGTACTGGCATCCGGATAGCGCATGTAAGTCCTGACTGATCTGGGGCCCGGGTGGGAATGGGGGGGTTGGGGATCTG